AATATATAGTTTCAACGGACTAAGTAATAGATAAAAAAAAAAAAAAAAAAGAGCAATGATTTTCTACAGAAAAACCGGACCTGGAACAATGAGGGCCGATCACGTTACTTCATTATCAAACATTGACAGTTACCTGCATTCTTTGATAATGGCAGCAAGACAAATAATTTGATGAAAGAAGTCGGTAGCTATTGCTAATTTAATTTGCAGCATCTCCCTCGGTCCCCACTTTACTTTTGACAATTGGACATTACATATTTGTTTTTTCAATGGCTTTGGTGTTTCCGAGCGCTGCTCTTAACTAATCTTTATGTATTTTTTTTTTTTGAATTATATAATAAGGGGTGATTTTTTTTTATTTTAATTATATGTCATGCAATTTAAATTTAAATTTTTTTATTTTCATAAGCAATAGATTACTATTAAATTAATTAAATAATTAGTAAAATTATGCGATTTTAAATACATTTCTTGTATTAATAATTTAAGTAACTCAATGTTCATCTTATTTCGTTGGAAGTAAAAGATCTTCAGTTTAAATCACATAACATATGATTGGGATAAAATAAGAGATGAACATAACATATAATTAAGATAAAATAAGAGATGAAAAATGATTAACTCTTATTATATAATCATGATAAAAAAATACACTCCTTGTATATATAAATGATAAATTTAAGTGAATTAATTAGATTAATTATTAATTATTTATTATTTTAAATAATTATTTATTTATTATTTATTAAAAATATTAAAAATAAATATAAATATTATCTTCAAATTTTTAATTTTAAAAAATAAAAAATAACGATTATTTAGATATAGAAAAAATACAAGCTAAGAGAAGTGGATAACATCACATCAATCAAAAACTACACTTTGAACTGGCCACAAGTTCTTCTCTTTTTTTTTTTTTTTTGGTTTCTCGTCCGATATTAGGGGTTTCGCCCTAACTAATCCGAACCCGACCCACGTCACGCACCTAAGAATAGCAGGTGAGTCTCCCAGCGGGAATTGCTGCATTCACAAGGTCTCGAACTCGAAACTTTATTTAAATTGGAACAAATCGCTTACCACTTGATCCAACCCTTCGTTGGTACCACAAGTTCTTCGCTGCTGACAAGGCAAAACATGGTTGCCAATATTCTTACCAAATTAACCTCAAATGTCTAGTCATGGAACGAAAATGTAAAATATGTAACAATAATGAATTTAAAAAATGCTATGATAACAAAATTAAATGGAATCCAGTCGGCCTCCACCTGTCCCCCACATTGATTAGTTTTGTAATTATTACCTTAGGTAATAACTCACATCATTAGCTTTATTAAAACAACAAACACCACATAAAAAACTCAATAAATAATCTCTTGAATTATATTTTAACTTTCTACTTTAGTTTATATTAAACATGAGGTGAGGATTGAAGCAAGGAAATCCAAGGTAGCCCTTTCATTTGGCCAGGTTACCCTTAATTTAATTGATGGCTCATATGAAAT